GGGTTTGTCGGGCTGCACAAAGAAGAAGAGCAGAGCAGAAACGTGTATGGCTGGGAAGAAAAGGAATGAAAATATCAGCTGATCCTTATCCTAATTTCCTTTCTTTTTAGCCCCTCAACTTTTTAAAATTTTACAATTAACCCCCAAAACAATATTTTCCCTCAAATAAGTCCCCACTTTAATGCTAAAATACCCCAAAATTTTGGGATATTACATTTTGGTAAGTGAATGCAGTTCGAACAACAGCAAGTAACCCACACTCGCACCTAAACTCTCCAGATCTGATCGAACCCACACTTCGTGAAGAAGAACTAGCCTCCATAAATCTTGATGGGGATTATGTTTTGCAAAGAAATAAGAAGAAAAAGGATTCTAGGGTTTCACAGGTCATGGAAGAAAGAGAGAGAGTTAGCTGTGGGTGGGGAACCTGATTGAAACTGAGGGAAAAAACAATATAATATAAATCTCATGTGGGCCCCACAAAAAGTGAATCTGAAAAGTGGGGAAGCAATCTGACGTGAAAAAATGCCAAGGTGTCAAAAATGTCCTTGCTGGATTTACACGTCATTAAAAATCAAAAAAGCTGGTGATTTTGTGGCATCTTAACAGGCCACCTGGCGTTTAACTGACGGAAGGACCATTTTGGTACCAAAAATGAAAGTTCAAGGATAATTTTGGTACTTTTTAAAGTTGAGGGACATTTTTGGTACCAAAGTGCAAAGTTGAGAGACCAAAATGGTACTTAAACCTTCAATTTATAAAATATATTATTTTATTGTTATTAAAATATTTAAGTTCCAATGGCTTGTTTATGTTTTTTCATGGATTTTATATCATTTCATTATTTGTTAGAAAATAACTTGAATGCAAAAAAATTAAATTTTGGGACTTAAATAAAAATTTTATGGAAGTTGAGGGATTACACCACAAGAAGAAAAGTTCCAAACATAGACCTAAATGAATGAATTTGAAGTTTAAGTACCAAAGTGTCCATAAAGTAGAAAAGGAAGCACACAAATGTGCATTTTTACCATTAAAGAAATCACAAAAAGATTAAAAGAAAGGTTATATCCCCGATTCAGTCCCTTAACTTTCATTTTTGGACTAAAATTACCCT